ACACTCTACACAGGACAGTCACTGAGGGCCTTGCTGAAGACCCAGCCTTCAGGTTTACAAACCCTCATGCTCACTTTTCCACTCAAGGCTCCTAACTTCTAGAGAAGGAAGCCTTTGCTTCTCACCTTGCGGCGTGTAAGTTCTGAGTCCAGCGCATCTCTCAGTCCCTGAAAATCTGGGGGGTTGGTGGGGGGCCCTGGTCGGAGGCTTGTATAGCGGGGAAACAGCTCTTCCAGTGCCTGGGCTGAGCTGGCTGGAGAGAGGTCGTGCAGAGGCCGGGTGCTGAGCAAAACAGATAGAGAATGTCAAAACTGGGAAAACCTTTGAGACTCACTGATCCTACTGTGGTATTTGATACATCAGGACTTGCCCAAAGACATAAAGCTATGGCTAAGTAGAGCCATCAGCAGCACAGAGGCCTGTGATCGGCTCCTGATGTTCCTTCCTCCGTATCACAGCTCCTAGAATGAGGGCTAATAACAGCAGAAACAAGAATATTCTTCAAGGGGAAGATGGGCGAAGGATAGAGAGCGCTAAGTACTAGACAGCTCAGGTTCCAGAAGGAGTAGCCAGAAAAAGATGAGAACTCAGGGCGAGCTTCTGGCTTCCCTAGAAAGTAAGCGGTGACAGGGAATGAGGGGGTGGAACAAAGCAAGGGAGCCACAAGAACTCCAAGGAGCACTCACTTGAGCAAGGTAGCCGTGCTGTCACTGTCAAAGGAGTCCTCTTCCCGTCTCTCTGAGCCAGCTCCCGGGATGAGGGGATCCCCTGCTCGCAGCCCAAGAGACCCCAAAGTAAGGATCAATTAGGAACAGAGGCCATTTGAAGAAAAGTGGGCCTCCACTCCCCTAACCCCTTCCCAGAGAATGGGTGCTTTCTCTTGTCTCGAGTCTTGCCTCAGAGGCCCGTCTCCTGCCCCTACACCTCAGCTTTCCTCCAGGATTCTAAGGCAGGGGCCGACTTACGATAGGCAGTATCACGTGAGGTATGGAGCATGGTCTGGAGCTGACCCCGAACACTTTCCATCTCAAAGATATGCTTGGACCCATCCTAGGGGAGAAAAAGCAAAGCCCACAGAAGTCACATTTAACCTGTGTAATCTATAGTCTACACACTTCCAGGGGAGAATTTTTCAAATAGGCCTTAGAAAATTGAGGAAAGCAGTTAGACGCAACAAAAAAGATCTTAACCTTGAACCCAAAACCCAACCGTTTACAGAAGCCGGAAAGGAGAGCCAGTGAATAAAGCAGCAGCCAGCACACAAAGCTGGGGGGTACTGCTGTCAACTGTAGAGCAAAGGCCTTGACCGAAGCCTGGCGCAGCTTCCCTACTGGATTCCAACCCGGGAAGACCTTTCCCACTGGTACAACTGCCTTCTCTAGAACACGCATGTTTAATGACTCTTATGCCACACACTGAAATGTTTGAGCTGAGAGGACCTTTACATATTTTGCTGCTGTCCTTAAATTGCTCCGGCTCTCACTTGAGTCCAAGAAACCTAATCTCCACTTCCAGGGCACCAACTACTCTACAGTGCAGATGTCTGACCACGTAAAAACAAAACACTAGAAACATGGCAATTTCTCAATCTGCTGTTTCACGCCATTCCCTCAAACTCATCTTCTAGGAGATGAGAGCAAGAAAACCTGTGTACTTAGGAGATAATTTACATCTAATAATAGATTCAAGCCACAGCAAAGCTTAACCTGAAACACCAGAGCTAATGCTCTCTAATACCCGGATCTCCAAGACATACCTCTCTCACCTTTTTCTTCAGGTTGTTCTCCAGTCCAACTGACAAGCTGCGGCTCAGTTCTTGAGCCAAGCTGTCTATGCCCTCATTAGGAGGCGAGGAGGCAGAAGCTAAATAGAGCTGGGCTCGGGCTGTCGCCTCCGCCTGTCGGCTGAGATGCAAAGAAGTATAGAGCTGGGAGGTGACCTCAGAGGACACCTGGCTCAACCCGGGAGGCTCTGATGAATCGCTCAGGAGGTCCTCCGGCCGCAGAGGTGAACTGGGTCTGGGAGCAGCTGTAGCCATGTGTAGTGAAGACATCTGGACACAGCAGTAAACTGGGAACTCCTGACTGAACTTGTGGATAAGTTCACCGAGAAGGGAGGTTTGTAAGAAGACCCCGTGGTGGAGCCTCAGTAAATAAGGGTATCAGGGCTTTCTGGTTAGAGGAGTGTCCACTGGCTCCAGGGGTCATGGAGAGGGCAAAGACATCCCTTCTGGAAGTCGTGTAAAGCGGATGTACAGGACTTTCGAGGTAGTGGACAGAGGACCCACTGGGCAAGGGCACCGCTAAAGTTCCTTCCTAACCGGAGTGCTGGAGGCCGCGGATCAGCTTCGGCAACAGCTAACTGGATAGTTCTTTTTCACACTCAAAATTTGCAAACACAGACCCCAAACCAAATCGGGCCCAATGTTTGTCCCTCAACTGGTTTTAGTGCAGAAAGAAGCAAGACTTCATTGCCACACCACTCTCCCGCCCCTACTTCACCTGTTCCACCCAGAATCGACTCCCTTGAGTTTCCCCTCCAACCCTGCCTGGAAAGAAAGCCACAGCAGAGGCCGCAAGAATTCTTCCCTAGCCTACCCTAAGACAGCTCTATAAAAGGTTCTAGAAAACACGCCGCCCCCCAACCCGCACGGCCCGCATGGGATCCTCTACCGCGACCACCCGGTTCTGACTGCTCTGAACATGTCGGCCCCTAGTTTGCCAAGATGAAGAGAGCTGTCCCCCACCCCATAACCTCAACAGAGAAAAACCAAAGACCAGCCCCCCTTCCAGACGCAACACTCGGCTCTCAAAACCGTTGGCAACCTCCCGCCCACCGCCTACAACTCCGCCTCCCACGAGTTACGTCACCCGCCCGCGAGACCACGCTTCCCCACACCTCCCAGGGCTTCAGAGGCCTGGCCGCGCATGCGCATGGCGTCGGTGCGCAGGGATTGGCTGCGAGAGAGAGGCGGAGTCTGGTAAGACTATCGGGGCGGAGTTAATGCTCGGCTGGCGAGGCTTGCGTCCCGTCTGGGCTGTGGAAACCGGAAGTAGCTTGTCACCCTCACTCGCAGCAATTCCGGTGAGTCCGGAGGTGGGGTTCCCACCTCACTGAAGGACCCGTTTCGGCAGAGTCGAGTGCATGCCATTGAGCGAGGCTCTTTATCTTGCAGATGACTGTCCACAATCTGTACCTATTTGACCGGAATGGAGTGTGTCTCCACTACAGCGAGTGGCACCGCAAGAAGCAAGCGGGGATCCCTAAGGAAGAGGTGATCGGACAGTCCCGGCATACCCACAAACGCACATGATCCCATCCCAGTCCCTTTTCCCCAAATCCAGGTTCCTTCCCACTCCCATCCTGTCTCCTTCCATAGCCGAGTTCTAACTCTACCCCCTCTTCCTCCAGGAGTACAAGCTGATGTATGGGATGCTCTTCTCCATTCGTTCGTTTGTCAGCAAGATGTCCCCGCTAGACATGTACGGTCCCGTTAGAGGGGGTGTTGAAGGGAGGGCTAACTAGCCTTGGGAGTGGGAGATACTGTTTTGAAATGGAAGTGGCATGTGGCCCCAGAGAGGGGAGGGGAATATTAGAGAGCGAGAGAGAGAGAGAGAGAGAGAGCGAGAGAGAGAGAGAGAGAGAGAGAGAGAGAGAGAGAGAGAGAGAGAGAGGCTGAGTCTGGAACTAGAGTCCTGACGCTGGCAGGAGCGTCTGCAGGGAGAGTCTGAGAGTAGGGCAGGTGAAGGCAGCAGCACTAAGTCGAGGGATGGTGGAGATGATGTTAGGTGTTTTATTCAATGAGGCTGCTACACACCACCTGTTTATATTGAATAGGAGGGAGTTGACCTTGAGGGGACCACAAATATTTCTTTGGGAGCGATTCCACTCCTGTTTCAATACCTGTTTCTGCAGGAAGGATGGCTTTCTGTCTTTCCAAACTAGCCGGTACAAACTCCATTACTACGAGACGCCCACTGGAATCAAGGTTGTCATGAACACTGACTTGGGCGTGGGCCCTATCCGCGATGTGCTGCACCACATCTACAGTGCGGTCAGTGTCAGCCGGGAACCCTTCTCTCAGAGTCCTAGGAGTCCCAACCCGTCTGTGTTCTATCCCTATTGAACTGTTTTCTTCAGCGCCTTCAGCTCCTTTAACAGTGAGAGCTTTCCTAGGGGAGAGGTTGAGTGCTCTTAACGATTTATTTTTAATTTTCATTATACGTATTGTGTAGAGGAGGTGTGTGCGTGTGAGCACAGGTGTTTGTGGAGGGCGGGAAAGAGTGATAGAGTCTCTGGAGCTGGATTACAGGTAGTTGTGAGCCGCTCACCATGAGTGCTGGGCGCTGGCTACCCTCTGCAAAAGCAGTGTGCCTTCTTAACTGCCCAGCCATCTCTCCAGCGCCCCCCCCCTCGTGTATTCTTACGTCCCTGGGGTTATACCAGGTTTGAGACTGAAAGTGAGACGTGTCGCAAACCTGGCTCACACACCCTCCTCTCCACAGCTGTACGTGGAGTTGGTCGTGAAGAACCCTCTGTGCCCGTTGGGACAGACAGTGCAAAGTGAGCTCTTTCGCACCCGGCTAGACTCCTATGTCCGATCTTTGCCCTTCTTCTCTGCCCGAGCTGGCTGACACATCTACCTCACCCCTAAGAAGAACCTGTGACTGTCTGGACCCTTGTGACTTGTGGCACTGTGAGCCCTTCCATCTCCCTGTCTCCCCCTAAGAGCTTCAACCTGAAGGCCCACCGCCCACTGCCTTCAAGTCATGAGTGAAGCCCGAAGGGGTCCTTGACAGTTTTATCCGCTGCTTGACTCCACGAGAAACAGAATAAACTTTCTGTCACCCTCTGCTGCCTGCCTGTGAGTTTCTGTAGCCCCTCCCAGTGTGACAAAGATGATACCTCTGGTAGTCACACATCCCCGAAGCCCTTGGAGAGGTTTTCCCAGCAGATTTCGCCATTCTTTTACTGCTCACATCTTACCAGCTGGATAATTCTTCGTTGCATTTTAGAATTTTAGCAGCAACCTTTGCTACCACTTGCTAGGTGTAGTACACGCATCCTGCCTCACCTCTAGTTGTCACAATCAGTGTTTCCAAACCTTGGTTTTTGAGGGACCAAAAAGCCCCTTTCGAATGCACACCACTGACCGGGAGGAATGTTGACATATTTCAAGTACAGAAAGTGAGAAGCACGTTCCTAAAACAAGACGTTCTGACCAAGGCACACTGATTGTTCGGAAGCCTTCCTCGGGCGGAGCTTATGCAGATAAGGCAGCGTGTTCGGCTGGGAGGCAGGCGGTTCCATGCAGATGAAGGGGCGGGTCCTGCATGTTGAAGAGCTGGGCTCGCTGCCGACGCGGCTGGGAGCACAGCGGTCCCGCAGCGGTTCCAGCTGAAGTGGCACCCGTCTTTCGCTACCCCTTGTTCCTGGGTCTTTATCCTTGAAGACCGTCCTCGACTTTATCTTTATCCTTACCCGTTTATCCTCCTGCTCCCTGCATCACAGCCCCCGGCATCTGAATACCACTCCTGGCACCCCGCACGGTTTTCCTTTCCCGCCGCAAACCCCGCGACCTCCAGCAGCCCGCCCCCGCGGCCCCATCCCGGTTGGCTGCTTTGACTGACTGCAGCCTCCTCAACCTTCCCGCTCTCTCAGGGTCGCGCTACTACCACACCAGTGTCTGCCCTCGGACTTCCCGGCTCCCTCCTTCCTCCCCCCAGAGCCCCCTCCCCCGCCCTGGCCGGCCGGGGCCGGCATGCAGGTGTCCATCGCGTGTACCGAGCAGAACCTTCGCAGCCGGAGCAGTGAGGACCGTCTGTGTGGACCCCGGCCGGGTCCTGGGGGCGGTAATGGAGGGCCAGTGGGCGGAGGGCATGGGAACCCTCCGGGGGGTGGTCCCAAGTCACGAGCTGCGCTGGTCCCCCGACCCCCAGCACCCGCTGGGGCCCTTCGAGAGAGCACCGGCCGAGGCACTGGCATGAAATACAGGTATGGGATGGCCAGGCAGGCTACCTATTCGCTTCCCTTTCGGGACCCCTGGGTTAGTCGCCACGACCCCTTCAAACTTAGCTTAAAAGGCCACTATTCATTTCCCCTCTTCTTTCTGTCCCTGGCACTCCCTCACTCGGTCTCTGTTAGTTCCCCTAACTATGAGACCAAGTTTACTAAGGTTGACAGTGTCCTGTCGTACCTAAACAGTGCTCCCGAACTGC